TGTAGTATTGTATGTATTGTATGCGAAAAAATTGGAAGTAAAAGGAAGTTGGCCTTGGAAAAAGTTGGGAATTTTTTTTTTATGCTTGTCAACTTTTACAGGTAAGTAAAAAAAAATTCTCTGGTTGCCCCCCCCTCCACTTTCAAAAACGATGCTACATGCCTGATAGCAGTCTCTACAGGCGATAAACTCGCTTGAAGTGTATTTTCAGCAATTTAACAAACGATTCTAATCAAATCAGTTTACCACTGTAAAGGATTTGGAGGTGGATAAAATATACAGATTGGTTACAGAATGTGTCTAGAATTCGGGAGTGAGAGTTAGTTGATTGAACAATGCTGGAAAAAGGAGAAATTTCCCCCCAAAGTGTGCAAAAAAATCTTCAGCCGTAAATGGTACCTCTTTTTTTTTGCATTACGGGATCTGTAGCTTTATGGACAAGACTAATATTTAAAACCACAACGCTACAGTTCTGCAGCTAGGAATTAGGTCACACCAATAAAATTTATTGTTCGTCGGACCCGCGCGCTCTTATTTAAACAAAACTATACAAATAATATAAATTTGAAATTCCCGCACCATTGGAATTCTTTGCTGTTTTCTGTTATATTTCCGCTCTATTTATCGTACTTTTAATCTACTTACTCTGCAAATCAGAAAAAATATAATTGTCCGCTCAATTTTTTTCACGCCCCGCCTTAAAATTTTGCCTTCAAAAAAGTAATAATATTATTATTTAACCGCTACCCCGCTCGTACTTTTTTCATCAAATGTCCGACGGACAGTGTGGCCTTATTCACATGTATTGACTTTTACTTCCTTTCCTTTTTTTCTCAAATTTCTTCTATATAATCTACTCATTCTAGTATATGAATGTATTGAGATGTACGACAATTACAATGGAAGTTAATCCTTTCATTTTCAAAACAAGATGGAATGGAATGCAACCCCCATTCGAATTAAATTCATGTCTATTAAGGACATACACAACGTACCTTACCTACTGATAATTTTCCAAGATATTCTAAATTTAAACTTATAATATCATTAAATGTTCTTGGACAAAAAATCAGCATGCGTTTCCAGGGGTTTTGAAAAGATATCGAATTTTGAAAATTTTTGCATTATTTAAATAAAAATGTACAAAAATTATAAAACATGAATTCCAGATTTTTTTCCATCAAAAATTGTTTAAGAAGAGGTGTACAAATCCATATATAGACATTAAAAATATTGCACACAGGCCCTTCATTTAGTGGAACTCTTCAACTCCAAGGCAGAATCCAAAAAAGTTAAAACTACGTTGCGTATGACCTTAACATGAAAGTCAAGAAATTTTACTGAAATTCTAAAGGACATTATGTACTCCTTTAATTAATATACTATTATATGAACCTTTCTCCTTCCACAGAAGCCAATTTGGATATAAAAGCATAAAGTGTACACTTAAACTTGTTTTATTTTCTTCCTTGCATGGTCATTTCAACATAAAAGTATTTGTACATACATTTTAAAAATTTGTATTATGACAAGGGATAATTTTCACTGAGTGATTAACAAATTCTTCAAAATTCTAAACAAAATATGATAAATCTTCTACAATTGTTTCTATTAAAGAGCTTAACATTAATGGACTGAAGAAAATAATGCATTCCTTTTGAAAATAAAATAACCTAACAAAACCTGCTTCAGCTGTGTATTGTATATGAATATCCATCCACTGATCTCCAAGTAGACATGATTGAAGAATTGTGGTTCTATGAACTATCATTTGGCAAAGAAAAATTCTGTACATTTTAGTTTTAAAATTTGGTCATTTTTTGTATAATTTTATAAGGAGCTCTCCTTCTAAAGGAGATCAATATAGTCTAAAAATGGCCACAACCACCAGCCATATATAAATTTCCTTCTTATGAATTCTGGCATGTGGTAATTTGAAGAAAAAAATGAATTGAATCTAAATGATCTAGGCCACACTAATGAAAATTTTTGTTCGTCGGACCCACGCGCTTATTTAAACAAAACCATACAAATAATATTAATTTCAATTTCTCGCACCATAGGAATTCTGTGCTATTTTCTGTTCCATTTCCGCTCTATTTATTGTATTTTATATCTGCTTACTCTGTAAATCAGAAAAAATATAATTGTCCGCTCAAATTTTCACGCTCCGCCTAAAAAATTGCCCAGCAAAGAGTAATAATATTATCATTTAACTGCTTGTACTTTTTTTAAATCAAATGTCCGACGAACAAGAAATTAAATTGGTGTGGCCCTACATAACTTTTTAAGCTTTGTGAAAAATGGTAACACTACATGATTGTATATATAAAAAGAATAAAATTACATGTACATGCATTAATATAAATTATAAGGCAAAATAATCCATCTTTAGATCTATGGTATTGTTGATATAATATTCAGACATAAAGTTCTTTAATTTTCTTTATGACTAATGCCTTCATTTTTTTACTTCCTTAATGTCAAATCAAATCCTTTAATGGTAGTGCTTTGGGTCATGTTGCTGTGAAGATACATCGCTTCTCCCTGTCGTTTGGAAATATGCAGTTTTCTTCTGCTCCCTGTCGTTTGGAGTTTTAAGGTACTGAGATAATACCTGAAATTAGAAAACATCATTTCTGAGCATTTAAAGCAATGTAATCAAGCAAATTCAAATAATTGTGGTCCCTCGCTTTCGGTGTCTTAGTTTGTAAGGTGCTATTATATATAGCATATTGTGTTAAATATTAATTCCCTATCATATATTGTCAATTCCAAAGCAATATTTTGAATTAAGGTCAAATAAAAAGGTCAAGGATTATAATCATTCCAAGGTCCGAAACATCTCGATCTTGTCTCACAAAAGGGACATCAAAAATGAAAACCAAAATCAAAAGTTACAATGAAAACAAGAGGCCCATGGGCCCACATCGCTCACCTGAGCACATGGGCTAGTTAAAAAAACACAAGTCAGCTCAGTATTGAAGTTTACTTGTTGGGGGGGGGGGATGAAATTTTTTAATACTTGAGAACTCGCTTGATTAAAATTATATGTTATACATGTACTGCTGAAAATTCACTTCAAGTGAGTTTTTTAACTGTAGATATAACTAAAAATGGTTGGGAGGTGGATAAAATATACACTATTTTATACAGAATAAGTCCAGAATTAGGAATGGAAAGGTAGTTGATTGACCAATGCTAGAAAATGGAAAAATTTTCCCCAAAAGTGCGCAAACAATGCCCCGTAAATTCCACCTTTTTTGCATTACGGGACCTGTAGCGTTAGAGTCAGACAAATTATAAAACCATAGTGCTACAGATCTGCAGCTAAATTTTGCCATACTTGAAAAGAAGATTTGTCCTACATATTACTTGATCTCCCATTGTGACCCCTCGTTAACCCTCCCTAAACCCAAGAGATCATGTTATGAACAAACTTGAATTAACTCTGAGGATATTTCCATATTAATATCACAATCATAGCTTTGCTGATCTTGAGCAAAGGATTTTAAAAAAAAATTCCTATATATTTCTATATAAAAATTTGATCAGCCAGTGTGGCCCTGCCCTACCCCCGGGTGTCATGATTTGTACAAACTTGAATCTACACCACCTAAGGATGCTTCGACAAGAGTTTTATCTTTCCTGGCCCAGTGGATTTTTTAAGATTTTTCCTATATATTCTATGTAAACCTTTGATCAGCCATTGTGGCACCGCCCTACCCCGGTGAGTCTTGTTTTCATTGTAACATTTGATTTTGGTTTTAATTTTTGATGTCCCTTTTGTGAGACAAATCTAAGATGTTTAAGGGGACCTTGGAATATAAAATCCTTATCCTTTTTTATTTAAAATGGGCATATATATTCTTATGAAAGAGTTTCATCGGCCATTGTGGCCCCATCCTACCCCTGGGGGTCATGATTTGAACAAACTTGAATCTACACTACCCGAAGATGATTACACATGAGTTTCATCTTTCCTGGCCCTTTGTTTCTTGAGAAGAATATATTTTAAAGATTTTTCCTATATACTCCTACTGAAAAATTGATTGGGCAGGGGGCCCCACCCTACCGCTTGGTTATGATTTGAACAAACTAAAATATACATTAAGGGGGTTGATTCCATATAAATATCACTAATCATGGCTTTGAAGTACTTGAGAAGAAGATTTAAAAAGATTTTCATATATATTCTTATGAAAGAGTTTCATCGGCCATTGTGGCCCCATCCTACCCCTGGGGGTCATGATTTGAACAAACTTGAATCTACACTACCTGAAGATGATTACACATGAGTTTCATCTTTCCTGGCCCTGTGTTTCTTGAGAAGAAGATTTTTAAAGATTTTTCCTATATACTCCAATGTAAAACTTTGATTGGCCATTGTGGCCCCACCCTACCCCTGGGGGTCATGATTTGAACAAATTTGAATCCACACTACCTGAATATGATTCCGGGTGAGTTTCATCTTTCTTGGCCCAGTGGTTCTTGAGAAAAAGATTTTTAAAGATTTTTCTTATATCCTCCAATGTAAAACTTTGATCAGCTATTGTGGCCCCATCCTACCCCGGGGGTCATGATTTGAACAAACTTGAATCTACACTACCTGAAGATGATTACACATGAGTTTCATCTTTCCTGGCCCAGTAGTTCTTGAGAAGAAGATTTTTAAAGATTTTTCCTATATACTCCTATGTAAAACTTTGATCGGCCATTGTGGTCTCACCCTACCCCTGGGGGGTCATGATTTGAACAAGCTTGAATCTACACTACCAGGGTCTGACAAATCCCATTGCCCGACGCCCGGGGCTAGTGAATTTTTAAGGGGGGGGGGGGAGGCAAGTGAATTTTTTTAATAGGTACATGCCCGTGGGCAAGTGACTTTAAAAAAAATCAATAAATATTTTTAAAAATGTTATAGGACAGGAGTCTGAAGTTCTTATCGTCAAAAAAAAAAATCCGGAAAGAAATTTTCCTACCTTCAACTAAAATACACCATGATGGCAATATGTTTTGGGGGGACACACTTAAACTAATAGATCTGGGCTTGGCCTAAAAAATCTCGCAACAAATTCAGTATTCGGAGCGTTTTACTATTTATTCAAGTTAAGAAATCCAATCTGCTTGACGACTACAGGCCGTTTCTGGCCCTTTTTCCACTTTAACAGCTCATCCTGGACTCCATGCCACTAAACTGGAAGTAAATCTCGCAGTGTATATTTGACGTCTATGAACATGATCATGATGATGAAAGCTTGTTCAAATGAAATAAAATAAATAATTATTCAACATATTTTGATTCAGTTATTTTAAACATATTTAAGAAAACTTTAAAAGTTATCAATTCTTTTTCTTACTTGTAAGACGATATGTACCAGGGACAGATAATTCTATTTTTACACGGTGCCAAATTTAAATCATTGAAAAGCCAAGTCAACAAAGAGCCAAACAGCTTGTCTTACCGACCTGATGAGGCATTATTTTGTTTTAAAAATATATTTTTTTTTAATTGATCACATATGGAAACATAATATTGTACATGAAGATTTACATACAATTTTTTTCTTTTCTTCAATTACGTAAAATATTCACTGCGGTGTTCACTTCCAGTTTAGTGGCATGGAGTCCACTCCATACTCCACTAATCAACCTCTTTCAAATGACACCAAGGTCAATGACTTTGTGACCTTGACTGTGACCTTAATGCTAAAAATAGCTTTTTCCAAACTTTGTTGCCGCCGGGCGCATAGTGTTTCACAAACACATCTTGTTTTTTTTTATGGTCTACTTACCCTCTATACTAGTACTGTGTGTACATCTGTCCTCCACATTCAGCTTAAGTACAGGATCTTGGCTAGAAGTTGACAAAAATTCAGGATACCTGTAATTTAAAGAAATATCAGTAAGAATGTGCTGCAAATCACATATTCCATATAATATCAAATATGACACTATACCGGGGCAAAAAAAATATACATGACTGTACTCATGTTTCCTGTCACCTGACCTATCCTCCATTTTACTCTCCGAACCTCATAGTTTTTTTTTTTCACGTTTTCATTTTTTTTGCTATTTTCCCGAAATGTTTAAATCGGCCAACAATATTAAATGTTTTTTACAGATGAGTTTCAGAAGCGTTTTAATACAAAACTTGGGCAGACCTGTCAAAAAAATTATTGAACATACCAATGAGAAGTATGAAAGCCCTAACACCAACTGTGCAAAAGTTATAAGTTATAACTAAGGTTGAAGAGTGATATATTTTTGTAAAAGTGGTCAAACTTCAAGGTCAAGAGGTCAAATTTGGTGGTGGTGGTACCCAAAGAAAGGTCTTGTCACAAGAAATACAAGTGTACAGCAGTGAAATATGAAAGCCATAGCCCCACTCACTCCAAAGTTATGAGCAAGGTTAAAGTTTTTGAGGACAAACAGCCAGATGGACTACAGGGCAAAATCTATTTACCAATACGTCTTATTTCAACTATGGAAGAGTTTAAGATTTTAGTGCGCTCCTCTGTAAAAAAGTTGCAGAGTGTACAAATCTTTCAGGATTTCTGGGACAAACGTAACATAAACATGTAAACAATATGTTGGATGTCGATGAACAAATCCTAACAAAAATCAAATGAATCATTTTATTGTTGTGGACTTTATACATGTTATATGCATGAAGAGTAGAAAGGACAAAAATATCAATTTTTATCTATTGTTTATCATATGTATTTAATTATCATCTAAATATAATTCACATGCTTTGGAAATGTATTTTATTATTGGATGATAAATGAGATGGGAGTCCGAGAACATAACAAGGGATAAGCCTATAGCGCAACAAACATGAAGGTGAAAAAATTAAATCTCAATATGTTATGTCGCGACTACCAATGAGTACCTCGCAGTTATCTAACTTACCTCCGCTCTTTTGCGAGGGAGTCAAGAAAAGTCTAAATTTCTGGGGGCAAATGACATTGTTTACATTAGTGACAATCGAATGATTCGAACAATTTAATGCCAAAATCACGATGTTTTGCCAGATATTGAATTCCAAATAGTAGATTGTCAAATAAGGAAAGTTAAGAATATTTTATATACTGAAAAATGTGACGATTTTCAATGAAAATTTAACTATAAGAGTCCGCTTAATTAAACATATCTTTAAAAATGTGACAATTTAGGATTGGCTCCTCTCAAAAATGTATAAGGCTGGTTCAGCGATTGTCTAGCGAGGTATTCCACCAGGATTTTTTACTTATCTGTCCTTATAAATGCTACAATGATCGATCTTGCATTAATTGTATTGAATAGCACATTGCTCCCACCCAACAGATGATTCCTACCTCCTTCATGAAAGAGTTCAGCTAAGTTAAGTAATCGCGATATCAAGTATTGTATCAAAATTTTCCGAAATATTTCATCTAAAATTAAAGTATACTTTATGTAAATCTGTCAAATCTCTACAACTTATACATATCTCATGAAGATTGAAGTTTTTGGCCTGTAAAATATAATACACACGCGAAAAAGGGCAAATTGAGTCATTTTTTCACACTTTTAGTGTTGTAAAATTGGACAAATTTACTATTATCAAATTGAATCGGAAGAACACAATCACTTATATAATTATATAATTGATAATTTTAAATGTTATAAAAGGTTAGATTTATTCATCCTTAGAAGTATTTTAAAAAGACAATGCACCAGGATATGGATATAATAATTATAACCTCTTCACCATGCACGTTCTCATTTTGTTTACTGCTGATTAGAGTGATGTCCCTTTGGTGAATATAAAAGTTAAACCTGCTCGGCTTGAGAAATACGGCTTGAAAAATATAGTGATCTATCGATGATAATATTTACAATCGATTGTCGCCAATCTGGGCCTTTAAACGACGATTTTTCGATAGTCAGCGACTATCATAACAACACTACACACTTTTTAAAACAATGTTTTGAAATGTATGAGTGGGTCTTCACTCCACTTTTTTTTTCAAGTTTATCCTCAAAGTTTGCATACAAAATGAAATATACTATTTTGATTTCCAAAATTATGGAGTAAAAACCCAATAAACCTTTTAAAAAATTATAATTTTATGATATAACTTTTGTATCTTTTCGAGAAAAAAAGTCCACTGAGTCAATGGTCATATCACAAACATGATTTAAATGCCAATCCTCATCAGGACTTGTGTAGCATAGTGGTTAGCTTGCTAGTCTCAGTAGAGAATGCTACTCAGGATTTTTATTGCTAGGGTTCAATCTAATGGATACATGTACCACATTTTTATATCTGTGATAGTCAGTTGGTGAAAAAACTGCAACAAAAATTGCGTACAGATCTCGAGACACGTGGATATATAGGAAGTTGACATCGAATTTGCATAAAAATGAATCTCACTACCAGTATATAATATGCCTCGACAAAGAGTGTTAAAAAATTTCAAACTTCTTGCTACCATAGTAGTTGCTGAAAAAAAAACCATAAAAATTTACACGCACAGATAAACAGGAAGTTGATGTGAGATTTCCTAAAAAAAAATAATGCCACCATTATCCCTCAATATGTAATGCCTATAGAAAGATAGACAGACATGCTAATTCCAATTTACTCCCCAAATTTGATTGAGAATGGGTTAAAATAATTGTATGTTGTTATTGAATATTCCTCACAGTTGACTTGTAGGTAATACTTATCATTGCTGACTTGTGGGGAATATTTCTCACTGTTAACTTGTAATACTTTTCATTGCTGACTTGTGGGGAATACTTTTCACTGTTGACTTTGTAATATTTTCACTGCTGACTTGTGGGGAATATTTATCTTGCTGACTTGTGGGGAATATTTATCACTGTTAACTTGTAATACTTTTCATTGGTGACTTGTGGGGAATATTTATCATTGCTGACTTGTGGGGAATATTTCTCACGTAGGTTATATTTATCATTGCTGAATTTTTCACAGTTAACAATTTTAGGTAATATATATTTATCACTGCTGACTTGTGGGGAATATTTCTCACTGTTCACTTTTGAGGAATACACATGTATTGACCATTGCTTTACCCTTAAAACTTTGTTTCCATATAAATGTTGCCTTTGAACCCAACCAATAAACAAGTTATATTGCTGACTTGTGGGAAACATTTATCACTTATTGGGAAATGCATTATTTTATTATACATGAACATTACAGATAAAAATTATTTTTCAACAAATAAAATAACTATCAAATCTTAAAAAAAATCAATCATCAATATTAATAATTTATTTTACATCATACACTGTTCACTCTCCCGATTTAATACTGCTTTTTCATGTCCAGGCCTACGATTTAATTGCTACCGCTTTTAAAAGCTGCGTCCCTTAAAACTAGATATTGTTTCCGGAATATAAATGATTTCAAGCCGGATTTGACGACAACAACAAGACTAATAAATTTTTACAATAAATTAATCAATAATTGCCATGAAAAAGGAGATACAGTATATTAGATGAAAACTTGACATGTCTTTAAAAGCACAGAAACAACTTTTTAAATCAATAAAAAAATCACTCGATTGACCAAGCCATGTGGAAACTTTCGTTTTGTAAGATCATCGCGGGAAACGTTGATTTATATAACGATCATCCCGGGAAACATATTTATATAGAAAGAATTTTATTAAACCATGTCATCATTTGTTTTGTTTAAAAACTGAATGAACATTCAGAATTATTAAAATTATTTTTCCAAGCAAAATGAACATGAAAAAATTTAAAATCAAACTTAATCTTTGCTGCTGATATTTAAGATTAAAATACCTGATTTCAAAAAAAATCATGTATATTATCATAATCCAATAAACAACACACGCGCAATTAATAATTTTTCATCACAATAGGAAACTACATGTATTACTAATCTAATGTTTACAAGTCTTTTAAATCAAAGCACATTAATTTTAAAAACATTTGTTTTCCTTCACTAGATTTAAAACAAATTGCAAATTTTAATTTTCTCAGGTAAAAAAAATGTTTTCAATTCAAAAATAATAAGTATGTTGAAAAGGATAAAAAGTCATAAAATCAGGAGACAGTATATATAAGTACTAATTTAATCATTGATGGATTTAATTGGCCAATGACTAATTATTATTAACCAAATTTTGATTATATTTTGTAAAATTTTCTGATTATTGTTACACAGTTAGCATGGTTAGCACACATGTATATTTTCTGACAACTTCTCAGCATGTTCATGAGGCTTTTAACCTACTTTGAAATCATGAACAAGGACCAAATTTTTTTTTTTATTTTAGATATACCGGTTTATATACTTCTATGTACATGTATTAGGCTTCATAACATACATGATATCAGCATGCTTTTTTTTTATTATTTCTGTTTTTAGAGCAACGGAAGTACTGTAAACCAACTTTTATTTGAGTGCAAGAAATATTTGCCAGTTTCATGACCTACATTTACTAGTGAATAGTAAATTATTAATTGCCCTGAACTATTAATTTTGCTTTATATTTGTAGAGAATGTTTCCTTTCATTAGTCACGGAAATTAATCAACACAGATTAGATATGCAAATAAAAGATGACACAAATAGGGTACATGTGTACTACCTGGTAGTTGGTTTACAGTACTGCTCACATATAGAGTTCAAAATGAGATTTTACAGCTATCTTGACTTACCAATACTAAATCCTTCTGTTTCCATACACAAATCCAGACAAAATGCTTTCAGTTATAATACTCTAGTTCTTTACATCCTTCATGTCCATGCAAGCGTGTCTGTTGACTTTGACTCCAAGTCTCAGTCTCTAACATTTTCAAGAATAAAGTTGTATAATTTGCTCTTGTGGTGAAAACCCGAAAACCTGCAATGATAATTTTGCTTTCAGTTCAAAGATTTCATTGTATATTTTTTTTAAAGTGTTCATATCTTTACCTATAATTACAAGACAGGTATATCTCCACATCACTCAATAGTAATTTTTGACCCCATGCGGCATGCCAAAATTAAGACTTAATGTATGCCCTTTCCTGATCCATATTGTTAACAGTGGGTAGGTAGGTATGAAAAATATTTTACTTTTTTCCTTCTTGTGACATGGCCCAGAGAGCTTTCCCTTTTAAATCAACCGTACAATAACTGCGAAACAGAACACTTTCTCGTGGATGTTTGATGAGCAGAAACTGTTTTATATGCAAAAAATCAACGATACAGTACAACTTATTTTTAGGAATGACAGAAAACTGAATCAATACCTTAAATGATAGTCATTGAAATTGCATGATAGTGCTGTTAGTATTTATTTAAATTTAATTAAAATGAGAATAGAAATTTACAGCGTAAAGTTACCAGAGGCAGATTAAAAATTTTTAGAAAGGAGGAGTGGGTGCAGAAATCAAATGGTTTTCTTAAAAAAAAAATAAAAGACCAAAATCAGGAAGCATTATCAGACCCAAAACTTTGAGCGCGATCGTTATATGTAAATAAATTTAAAAAGGTATAAATTCAGTTAAGCAAATATAAATAATTATGAATAATAGATATTGAATCTTAAAATCTCAACATTACCTTTCAATTTTATAACCAATTTCAAATTTTTAATATGCTCGCTATCATAAAAGCTGATCTAATTGTTATTACTATGTTTCTCCATTTCCTCCAATTCGCATTATTTTGTATACCACGCCCAATCATCTTTCAATAGTAATTGAGGTTTTGAAAAGGATTTTTAGTTATTTTTTACATATGATTTTGTTTCTTATTTATTCCATCAGCATCTAAACCCCAAGGCCAAGGTTTGAATTGTAACAAATTTTAAAAATAAAAGGTGATCTTTAATTAACAATAAGTATTTAATTAAAATGAATTTATTAGACATTTTAATTGGGCCTAAATAAATAAGTAGTGTGTTTTCAGCATGTTTAGTTCCCCGCCTAACTCTAAGAAGTATAGGAGCTTGTTTGTTTATTTACACTCAGACCATACAATGGTATATGAGGTACATGAACATATTTACATAATTATATACAAAATACAAAGTCAAGCGAGGAAGAGTAGTATCAATTAAATAGTTACTAAAAGCAGGCCAATATCTTTTTAGCTAATAAAGACAGTTTAAACAGTGAATCAACATTTGTGATGGACATAATTTTCTCAAATTTATAAGTATTTATATGACGACAATACTTCTTATCAATAAGTTTTACCCGTAAAGACAAAAAATATGGACACTCCATTATATAGTGAAATTCATCCCCCAAAGTATTTTTGTTACATAGATTACATAATCTTAAAGATCTATCAGTATTAGTCCATCTACCTGATTCTACTGGGAGTTTGTGGTTACAAGTTCTAAATTTTGTTAATACAATTCTTAATTAAGTCTTTTGGGAGTTTACTTAAGTAAATTTCTCGTCCAAAATTGTTTTTGAAAATCCTGTAATTTAAACATTTAGGTGAATTTTCTATGTTCATATGCCAGTCTTGTAAAAATTGATTTAACAACGTTTCTTTCACAATAGATTTTAACCATGTAACACTAATGAAGTTTTGATTTATCCACACATAAGACAGGCCACAGGAATTCAAGATATCTCTTATACATTTCAACCATGGGTGCATAAATGATCCGTCAGAAAATTGCTTATAAAGAAAGCAATACATTATGTATGTCAGCTTACTGACCCTCTGAGCCGACCCTCAATATTTTTTCTGCTAATATCTTTCCATGAGTAAACTACTGTATGTATACTTTAAAATGCAGGCTTCATATTTTAGCGGCTTTGGTGCAGACAACAATGCACTAATTCATGAATACTGCTAAGAAATCATTTACATATTGATATATACAATACACCGCACATACATGTGTAGCGCTAATTTATGATTATGCCAACCCAGTGATTATGCTAAATTTTGAAAGCACCAAATTATATACACATATTACAGTATTCGGAATTCCAGTTTACAATTAGAAATGAAATCCCAATCTTGATCACTTCCATGTTTGAGAAATGCATATCTTACACATATTAATCAGAAATATTTTGAAAGTGAAATCCTGGGGGAAAGTGGCAGCGTACCTGCCAATAAAATGTTAAAATAAAATAAAAATGTTTTTCCTACCTACCTACCCTATCTTTTCTAAGGTTAAAATAGGAAACACTATCTATTTATCTTGGCCTTAGCAAAATAAAAAAAAATACTTATGATACATCGATAATGATGGTCTAAAATCATGAAAATATTTTCAGTAGGGCAATCAGGATGAATGTAGAACAGGGTGCAGGTGAAAGATAATGAAGGCAAATGGACACTATGCAAACCAACGCATGCGAAGAAATATACACAAGTAGGAAGAATGACTTGATAAAAAAACGATAACTAAATCAAGCTTTTTTTGGAAGAATTAAACATGTTAAATAATCTAACCAAGCTAAGAAATTTTAGCTACGTAAATCTATAAATGTACTGATTTCAATTGACCTTTTGAAAAGGTGGAGTTCTCTGTGATACATTTCTGACACAGAGTCAGTGTGTGACTGACATCGTTTATAAATACACGTACAGTTTAAGTCAGATTAACTTTTACAATTAATTCGCCCACACAGGCCTCACTAAACAGCTAAAGACCAGACAGTCGCACCGTCTAGCATAATTTGTATGGGCATGAGGAGGATAGTCGCGTTTCACAAAAAATGGGGACAAGCCCAAGGGCGGATCCAGAGGGGGGGTCCAGGGGGTCCGGACCCCCCCTTTTTCGCGGACCAAAAAAAATGTATACACCCCCACCCCCGCAAAAAAAAAATTAGAAATATAAATCAAGAAAAAAAAGGAAAGAAAGAAAAAAAAGAAAAGAAATAGAAAGTTGACGAGATTTTACCGGAAACATCAGCGCTGTACGTATACACTTTTGTTTAGAATAACTCTGAAGCTGCTTCCAGTAAGACATGAAGATTAAACTGTCCATAATTCATAAATATTATGGAAAGCTTTTACTTTTTTATTAAGAGTTGTTTATATTGAACTAGGCTACTAGCCAAATGTTTGATTCTTAGGCTGAGTCATACACGACGATTTTGAAAAAGGTCGTTTCACGTGTAACACAAATATGGAAGGCTGGTTGTTACAATGTATCATGAACATTGGCTAACATCTACAGTAATATATTGACGGTGTGACCATTGTAGCGAGCGCAGCTATATAGTACAAACTTTATGCTCTGAGTTCAAACACAAAACGGGGGGGGGGGGGGTTCTTTTTAATTCTCAAGCCATGAATAGATTATCTCCCGGGTATATATAATATACAGATTGAGTACAAAATCTATAAAAAGCCCTGTGATCTGAACAAACTTTGTTTATCAAATATTCAGTTCATGAGAGGGTTAGGCAGTAGAACAAGCACTGCAGCTATTTCAGTTTTTTTGCAGCTATTTCAGTTTTTTTGCATATTTTTTATAAAACACATAGGGGCCTATTATAGCCTACTATATTTATCACATAAACGTCACGTTTCAAAACTACACGTGGGGGTGGTTATGTACGTGATTATCAATTTCATTAATTTTGATACAAATACCCCCAAACTATGCTTAAACTCTCAAGTTTGTGAACGGCACGATGTAGGGGAGGGGTCTACCATTGAGTTTTATCTTCAGAGAGAGTCAGGTATTAATATTCCTTTTATAAGGGGGAGTCCAATTTTCCTTTTTTTTTTTTTTTTTACAATTTGTAGGAAAAAAACAGGTTGGGGGGGGGGGGGTCCCTACCCTCCCCGATGCAATGTACATGTATATTTTTAAAGTAAAATAAATTCTAGAAAGGCCTTCATGTGCAGATACCCCTTCCCCCATTTTTGTGGTTATGTGTGCCTACGAAATAAAACAATGTATTATCAAAATTGTATATCCTTGTAGCAATGAGAGAATTATAACTGAAAATTAATGTTAGTAATATGCCTCTGCTGGTGGACTTTTTGTCCCCGAGGGTGTTCATAAGCCCAGTTTCGTCTAGTACTCCAGTGCTAGCATGAAACGGATATATAAATTTTAATTTGATAAATTTTAGAAATAAAGGACGTATCTCCCTCAGGCATAGCTCTGGTCCTTGTTCGGATTTTGGCTCATGTTCGGCACTTTCGATCCATGCTCGTAGCTCTTTATCTTTTTTAAAATTTCCAATAGTTTTGGTCTGAGCATCACTGAAGAGACATTATTTGTCGAAATGCGCATCTGGTGCATCAAAGTTCATACCGTTCATTTCTTATGATAAATATAGTGTGGTAGTTGTACTTTTTATATTTTTAAGATATGTATTTTAAATTGTACACATTATTCTCATTCTTTATTTTATTCATTCATTCATTCACTCATTCATTCAGCGCTGCGCAATGCGATTTACTAACACTCTATGTTGTCTTGTTCAGTGTTTGTTATAAACCTAAACACCCCTATTTAGTTAAGTGTTGTATTCCAGGTAGACTACCAGGTAATGTTGTGAATGGGTTATTCCATTATGTAGTGGGACATTGATTTCTATTGGTCAGTGTGGTTGATTGGTTCTTAGGTAGAATTGGCGGGAATTACTATAATGATTTCCCTTATTCTGAAAACTGGTTTTTGAAGGGTGTACATGTATATAGTGATTTCATAGTGTTGGAGACACCACCCTTATTCCTGTAAGTAATTTAATAAATAATTAAACTACTAAATAAGTATCTAAATAGTTTCTTAATGAATGAGAAATCTAAATAATTCATTTTAATTCATTTTAAATCTAAACTTGCTAAATAAAGTGTGAGTGTGTGTAAGGAATGTATATAAAAATTGGTAAAGATCTATAAAAAGCAAGTTAACCATTTTAATCTATTCTTGCATCCTTAATAAGGGATTTGAGAGTTTGTTATAATTTTTACGTATTGTTAATTAGGTCAGATATTTGAAGTACGTCAGATTGGTTAATAGGAGTAGGAATTCACCTTATTCCATAAATGGGTATGTGTCTGTGTATTGATCAGATTGATTAATGTAAATATTGTTTATAAGTTATTTCTATGAACTAGAAGTAAAGTATAATGGTCCAAAGACATAATTAAACTGAATGAAGTGTGACCTAATTATTTTAAAAGGTATAAATGTAAATGAACTATAAATGAATGTGTTAAAAGATTTGATTATCTGTTTGTATTGTCTTGTATTGTTTTGTGTGTGTGTGTGCTTATATGTTACTGTTATTGTAGGGTTGATTTGATCCTATTCTGATTGTACCAAAATAAATCGGATCCACACCCTGAGCAATCGATCTTGTTGTTTTATACTGAACAAGAACCGGTTACAATAGTATTACGATATTTCTGTTAGATCTGTCACTCCAGTATAATTGACCAGAATAGTAAATGTCTAAAGTTGATAGAGCAATTCGCAATAGATATTTGGGACTCTTTGATCAGAACAGTGTGATATTGGGTTAATATCAAACAATTGTTTTGTATTATTAGTCTCCCTTTCTCGCTTTGCTGAGAAGAGGGAGGGGTGCTAGTTTACTCTCGGTCCATCTATCTACCTGTCTGTCCTTCCGATTGCGATTTTCCGGATTTTTCTTTGCACTGTGCCTTGAATACTCACAGAACAAGTATATTCACTACGTTTGACATACTTTTGACTGAATTATATTACCGTTAGGGGATTTTATTTTGCTAGTTTTGGGGAAAAAAGTTATTAATTTTATCATATAGACTCTTACTTACCATGATTGCAAACAGTACCTAATAGGTCAAAATGTTGGACCCCCCCTTTTACAAATTCCTGGATCCGCCTATGAAGCTTTAAACGCTTACCATATCCCGGGGGTGCTGAATTCATATAAATCCGTAGTTTGTTCTTACAGGATAGCCATTAGGCCTATAAACATGATACAATTAAAAAAAAAATAACCGAGGTCTAGGTCGGGTCAAACTTTCCCAAAGTTTTACGTGCATTCATTATTAAATGTTACTTTACGAACGTCTGTAAGAAATAACTGCATGCATGATTTACGAAGTTAAATTAAGTTTTCAGGCTATAATATCTTTAAAATATGATAAAAAATCTACTTACCACATATTCTCGGAGCAGCCATTGCCCGCAATAAATTGGTATCATATGGGGACCAGTTTAAATTCCGCTGCGTTCCGAATGAACATTTCCCAGCATCCTCAAACATTCGTTTTACGGTGCAGTGAGAAAATTACTGCGAGTCAATTTTACGGACTTATGGGGATTTTTTCAAAAATGACCACAAATCGAATAAATATTATCAGTAGAACACGTAGAATTCAAAAAACCCCATGACCATATTTGTGGGGAACGAGAGAGTTCCCCACAATTCTGAACTTTCCCCATAAGAAAGGTCCTTTGTCAGGTGTGAGTTCCCCACAAGTCGGTGAGCGCGAGTGCTCTCTCTCTCTCTCATCCTCATCACTTTTCCTTGTATTAGACTTCACAAGATATAAGAAGAGAGCTGATCATAAAAATGTGCGTATTTTCCACTTTCTATTTTTCTCATCTAATTTAAATATTTTCCTCCTTTCCATTGAACCCCAACATATTATCACAAACTTGTTTGGCCGGGTAACCATTATTACTTTGATAGAAATGTATACTTTGTTAGTAATTATAATATTGACCTTGGTTGACGAAGGATATCTGCAAAGTAAGTAATTATGTCATTGTTTTTTATTTATTTGTCTTTTATCTTAAGTTAATATTTATAATGTTAATAAAGTTTTAATTTTTATATCATTTTAATATCAAGGTATTTTGCGTAGAATAAGAATAAAAAACATAATGGTTTTTCATTTACAAGCCTTTGGCTTCGGCTTTGTATTTAGACCGAAAATATGATATTTCAGGCTTGCTTTATCGAAAGCAAATCATTAAGTTATGTTGTTCAAATCCTGTAGAATCATGCCCTGATTGTCGATTTGAGATATGTGATACTAATCATGGAATATGTCTAGCTGGGTGCAAAGAACCGAAATGGGGAAATTACTGCCAAAGAGACTGCCCAAAGTATTGTGCAGATTGCTATCAAGTTTCTGGTGAATGTAGCAGATGTCACAAAGGTAAATGGGGTGTGAACTGTGAGAGACATTGTCCAGAACTTTGCGTAAATCAAGAATGTTCCCAGACTAATGGATCCTGTGTTCGCTGCCAGAGCGGAAGTTGGGGACAGAGATGTGAAAATCTGTGTTCAGATTTCTGTTTCAATTCAACTTGTGATATTAATTCAGGCAAGTGTCTGAACGGTTGTGGAAAGGGTCGATATGGAGACACTTGTAATCTTTGGTGTAGTCCTGGCTGCTTCGATGACGTTTGCCTCCAAACTGGAACGTGTATCAGCGGATGTAAGGAACTCTTTTACGGCAAACCGTGTGACAAAAGATGCAGTTCAAATTGTCTGCCTCCTGATTGTCATAAACAAACTGGTTTATGTGTGGACTGTAAGGCTGGATTTTATGGAAATTATTGCACTAGTATCTGTCCAAATTGTATCAATAGTACTTGTGATAAAAGAGATGGTTATTGTATACATGGCTGTGAATCTGAATGGAGTGGATATAAGTGTGACGGTAAGTAAGGACGCTTATTAAAGCATTTATGGATTTTCCTCTTTGATACAAACCTTTAGTTTTTAAAGAAAGAGCAGAGAATTGATATTTCATATTTCAAAATCAAATATTGATTAAAACGAGAAGAGAGAAATTTATTTTCACATTTTTAGAAAAGGTTTTTTAAATTACTCTTAAATCACTTTTTGATTTTTTTTACACACCAATATAAAAATTATCTTTGTCTATTATAAAACTTTTTTGATGATTGAAAATATTCATATATATTTGTTTATTCCAGTGCACACAAAGATTTAAGCTCAATATCAAAAACTTTGCAACGTTGCACTATTGTTACATACATAATTAATCTGCCTTTATGGACCTAAAGCTTTTTAATTTTTTATTAAACAAACTAAGTGAGATCTATTTATCTTTAATTTTTAGCCTATATCATCTTGATTTTCAGTTTTGCAAAGAACGTATTAAAAAAAGATATTCCAAAAATGGGGGTATAGGTGTTCAAAACTGTTTTTAAAATTTTTCAAAAATGGTCAACCATAATAAAGTATGTTTAGTTGCTAACCTTAGGTATAATTCTAAATAATTGTAAAGAAAAAATAGCATATAAACATATAAGATTTTGAGGAATATTTAAAATAAAGATATTTTGAGCTTTTTCTCTGAAAGATTTTGACAGAAATAACATCAATTTTTTTACTGCTTTCAAATAGAAATTTCAAATACTTTCTTGACAAATGAATATTTCTGATTTTCCTTAGTTTTAACAATAATTGGACGTGATTTGGTACATAGCTAAATAAAATATGATGTTCCACTTCTATATGTTTAATTTTGGCCGTTGAATTTTTAGAGGTATATACTCCGAGACATGTTGCATGAAAATTAACCTGCAAAGATATGTTTTTTATGGGTGTTTTTGTTAGATTATGACTTACTCAAGATTTTCAAATCGAAAAATAATCAGATTGACAGAAAATTCTGAAAGTACGGACCTACCTTAAATTTTTCTTATATCATACAAGCTAATGAGCGAAAACTATTACTACGAATAACGTCATTTTAATTTATTTTCATTCCAGTGAGGAAGATAAGCTCAATATCAAAAATTAACGTTGCACTTGTTATAAGCATCTGCTGTGGAGTAGTGATTGCGGTTTTCATCTTGATATTCCTTTTAAGAAAAGGAGGAAGGTATAAATTTTAAAAACCAAAATTAGCGTCAAAATAAAGACAGGTTAATAGTTACTATATGTAGTTCCAGACTCTAATATAATGATAGTGTTTTGTTGCTAGAATTATCAAAAGACTTTATAATTCAATTATCAATATTGGTGCAGTTCACGAATTCCAGACTTCTCACTGGCGTTATAATACATAAACAACTAGAATGATCTCATTGATAAATTACATTTTCCAAGCCGTTTTGGTAAGAAAGATACTCATTATGAACAAGTGTAGTACATTTGCACGATTTTTTATGCAAGTCTGCAAATTTAGAAACGTAATTTTTTCTGCACTACTTCCCCCTCCCCCCCCCCCCCCCCAGCGATTTTAAAAAATAATTAGAGGGATGTACCCAATATGGTGGATTTAAACACAGCAAAGAATGTACGTCTAATTTCAAATTAATAATTTTTCTTTGGACAAATTTTTAATACAACAAAATGGTAAGTTTAGGAACAGGTAAATCAACCTTGGTAATTAAACATTGGTTATGTCGACACACTTGGATATGTGGAAGGTTGTCGTCGGTGTCGGCAATATTGATTATAATCCTGCAGAACTATACAGTCAATCTGATTGGTTTAGAGCATCCCATGTGATGTTTCCCTCACGGGCAGGTTGACAATTGTTGTCACCCTTCAGATGACTATGAAATAGCTTAAGTGAGCATGCACAGTTACAACTTATATTAAGTAGCTACATTATCTTTAGTTTGATATTCAAATGCATAAATTACACACTGTATTACCCCTTCTCAAGATATACATATTAAAAATTTTCGTATATGAATGCATAATGTTCTTCTTTAAAATTTGATTTTAAAAATTGCGTAACAATGGTTATCTGTGTTCACATCTTACAGTATGTGTAACTTATGACATACAAATTATGTATGTATTTGTAGAAAATGGTGGCCTAGACCTAACCCTTTAAAAATTGCATTAACTTCTACAGCACAGGAAACCATTGAAACCGGTGTGAACTTTCCTGACCCAAATACAGATTATGAGACCCCTGTGAATAGGTCAGACAGTCAAGAACCTGATGGTTCAGCAGAAGAAAGGACCTCAGATGTATCAGAGCGTTACGAGGCTCCTAGTGATCTGAACGATCAAAATGATAATGCCTATACTTATATAACAGAATAACATGCTAAGTTACATGGATATAATGGGAAGATGACATGCTTTTTTTCAGGTGTTACCTTACCTGTAGCAGAATATTTGCAATCTTTTTGGTTCTGTTTACACTCTAGTACTTGTGTTTGTTTTAGTCATATAACATGTACTTAATCTATCGGTGTTCCTACAATGTATATTTCATAAAATGTTAGTTTGTTCGCCCTTCTACTAGTACTTTAATCAATAATCTTCTCTGATGGAAGAAAATCAAGGATAGCCTCGCCGGTGGGATTTTCGAAGAAGCACCCCATTTAGGGCCATATGAATTAAATTTCCTCAAATTGCTGATAGGCGTCTTCGTTATCATTGTTGTTTTTTTTTTTGCGAGTGACTGCACTTTTCCACACGTTGACTCTACCCCATCTGTTTACTTATCACTTTTGTAGTTGACCAATATATGTAATGAATGTATTAGTCTAAGACTACATTTTTACTGTGTTTATCATCTATCACGTGGAAGCCCTTTAAGTATATTATGTTTGTTTTAATTAGTTTACATATGATAATACATGTATGTAATGTGTAACCAATTTATTTAGTTTTACCTATTAACGTTTTATATAGAATATTGGTGTGTCTGGCGTCCATTTAACCTTATGGCCTTGGAACTATGCCATCGTGTCTACTGCGGTAACTTTGTAAATGCTTTCGAGCACTTTAATGAGATTGCTGCAACCTGTTGCTGGGGTTTTGTGTATAAAGATTTAAAGAGGCATCTTAGTAAAAAGATTTTACTAATTATGCATTCTGAAGGGATTCTGACTTCCCTATATATGAGGTGATTAGGGGTAAAACGAGACTCGTGTTTACTTGATCATGATCTGTACGCAGCACCAAGACATCCCAATGAAAGATTCCACTGAGCGAAAAATACAATGTAACTGTACATATAAATCTTCTAAATTATATATGTAATATAAATGTTTGCATTTTTCTCAAATCTTTTTTTTAATTTAAATGTCGACGTTAAGATAGAAATTAATACAAGGATAATACAATTGCAAATTGCAAAAAAACATGATTTATTTTATTACTAAAACGTCTCTAATGGGTTTTAGTATATTGCAGACATAATTTAAAAAGATACATGTACATGTTGTTATGCTTAAATTCGTTTTTCCCGCAAGAATTTTGATATTTTCATAAAATGATATTTCATAAACATCTCTGTTGGAAAACATCAAGATCCCATGAGAAGAGACTCGTCAGACGTGGTGAAAAAAGCTACATTTTAAGTGGAAAAAAAAAACCTGATAATCATTATAATAATTCCTGTAAAAAAATCGAATTTTTTTTTTTGTTTTATCTATTTTTTCCTTGATAGAAAAAGTACTAAAGTTTTTTTCTTCAGTGTTTATTAACTGCTCTATTATTCAGCATTCCAATACAATCCTTCCCCTCTTCAAAAATATAAAATTCCCATA